TTCAGATATGAGTTCCTCAATTAGAGAGAAAAAACAGAATGGCTTGCTTAACCACAAGAAAACAACGTGAAGGAGCCAAAGAAGGTATCAGGAGAAGCATCAAGCAAAAATAAGGAAGTATTATGTCATTTTCAAGACAATCCGAGATCTCATTGGGCTATTTATGTTAAGAGATACCTGCACCATTTCAGTTTGAACACAGCAGCTGCCAGAATGCTCTGGGGAGGGGAGAAAATGTTGGGAGTAGGAAACAAAACCAGCTTTTCTTAGCCTAGCAGATGAAAAGGTGAGATATGGATGCCGCCTATAAATACAGCACAGTAAATACAAACTACAGAAGGAAAAACAGCTATTGAGGTGAAGCACAGTGCCAGCACAGCAACAAAGATGCATCGTAGTGCCATGAATTAGAATTTTTGCCATAAATAAATTTGTCAGTACACAGCTCCAGAACATCAAACAACGAAGTTCTACCCTATTCCACTGAATAGAACAGCAGGTGCAAAAGGTACCTACTTTTAAAATAGAGATTAAAAACTTCATTACAGGATGAAATGAAATCAGGCTTTTAATAACAAGGGATGAGGCCAGATAGCCCAGAAAGTTCCTCCTAGTCCTTTAAAAGCAAATATATGCACACTCATCTCTCAAACAGAGGAGCAATCGCAACAGCACCCATATGTTCTGCTCTGAGGTCTGTCTTTAACAGAGAAAGGCTGTTTCTCCACCACCAGTTTTGACCAGCTCCGTGCTGTAAGAGCACGCCACTACACAGCAAAGCCCACGCACCGTACCGTGCATACCACAAAACCCCTGCTTTCGGTGGCACGGCTTTTTCCAGACAGCCCCTGGACAAAGCTACCCCCAGTAGGACAAGCTCTGTTTGAGGGTTGGACTGCACCCAGACCGGGGCGGGGGCGGGGGGGAAGGCATGAGGCACACAACATCCATCACTGTATTACCTGTTCTCATCTACCACGTTAACGAGGGGATTAGATCGCCGCTTTCTTTGGGAAGTGGTGTGTCAAGAGAAGACATTCCTATAACCTGGCAACACTTGCCCCCGTGCAGGTGTATCTCAGTGGGGGATTTGGGTGGGCTGCCTCCATCCAGCACCAACATTAAGCCAAACCAAACCACTGGGCGGGGTGTGCTTAAGGAACAAAAGGTTCGGATGCACTGAGGTGCTGCTTCCCTTTTTCAGGACACAGCCGTCACCCGTACCGGGATCCAAAGCTGGCACAGGTGGGCCCTCTGTAGGAGTGGGTGGGTTGCAAGTTCTTACCTGGTAACCGGTTATCAAGGAGATGGGAAGCTCTAAGTGATCTAGCATTGCAGCAACCGGTATTTAAAAGCCAATTTGCATATGAGAGGATTGTAAGTAATGGTGATATTTAAATGTGGGATTTATAACTGCAGCTGTTCTCACAACGAAATGAGTCAATACCAAATACTCCATCTTTTCGGAGACCTTTTCAGGAATGCAAGACATTTTAGGTTGCAGCCTTTTAAGCCTGAGATTAATAAGCCATTATTATAATTAGTTGAGATAGACACAAATTCTTACAAAGAAAGTTGGGTTGGTTTTTTGGTTTGTTTTTTTTTTTTTACCCCCCCCTGTTTTTTTACCCTCCCCGACCTGGAAGTGAATTTCCCTCAGCCGGCCGGGGAGCGGCGCCGAGCCCGCCTCCCTTAAAGGGGCCGCGCCAGCCACACGCTGCCTGCTCTACGGGTGAGTGGGAACCTTAAACCGCAGGTTTAAGGATGAAAAGCGTCAGGAGAGGGTTTTATTACACAGCAAAGCGCATTAGGCTCGCGTGTTATGGCGTGTGAGAGACCTTCCCTGACGCCGAGCTGCTTTCATTTCGGAGCAACACCGAAGCGCCGGTGAGCCTGTCCAAGCAGCGGCTGCTGAGGACCGAAGCAGCTCTACAGCGGTTCCTTCTCTTTGGGAACCTCTCACAACCAGGAATTCAGCTTCGGCTTCATGCGTGTTGCTCACGGATTAACCTCTGCAATTTAAATCTGTTTCCTGCCCAGACTAGTTTCTTCTGGAAATATGAATAATAATCTCCAGTACAATAGGTTTTGCCACCCGCCTGGAAGTTGGAGAGGAGCTTTGCCATAAGCTTCTATACAAAATAATTTCCGGTTCCAGTAGTAGTAGTGATGAGAACTTGTCTCCCAACAAATACATGCATTGTTGGTAAAGAGAATACAGTTACTTTTTGTTTTGGGATACAAAGTAAAGAGTGATACAATTACCCTGTCCAAGTAAAATGAAATTACAAAGAGTTTACTGTTAAACCTTTTCAGGAATTGCCGATATTACACACAGCAGCTTTAAATAATATTTGTCTGCAAACCAGCAAAACACATAAATAAACATTAAGGAACAATTACTAAAATAATTTATGTTTCTGCCATTAAAAAATGACAAAATATTCTACAAACATTATCAAACGCAATTTTGCCCATTTAAGGACTACATGGCAAAGGTCAGTTATGGTCCCAATTCTTTTGGATGTTGATGTAGAGAAATGCCATGCTCAGGATCTGACAAGAACAGAATCAAAAGTCCTCCTGTTCTGAATTTAACCACTTAAATATCTAATCTGCTTAGAAGAAATATTTTATCTAATTATGGAAACAGAAATTAGCTTAGATAATTAAAGGGAGAGGCTAGTACTGTTATTCTTAGTCCATTATGTGTTACTTCCACCTCCTAATGTCTTTTGGAACTTCCAGGTTCTTTCCATACCTATTAACAAATTTTATTCATTCACTCCAACCTGAGTATCACCAGATCTCTTGTCTTTACCTTCTTTTTCTCATTCCATCCGGATTTACAATAGGAACTATCTTCCTTTCTCCCATCTGGGCTCAGACAGTGAAAACTTCCAAGCGACAGGCGGATCCCCTGCTCTCAGTGCCTGTTCTTGGCCTGCCCTGCCGTACTCAAGAGCCGCAGCAGCGAGGGAAGCCTCGCTGTGCCACTTGGCTCCGAGTGTGGAGAGGCCGTACAGCCGAGTTGGCACTGACCCAACATCAGCATCAGAAATTTGCGGAGACATAATCCCAGCAAGAAGAGACCCTTCAGGGGTTTAAACCAACAAACTCAAAGATTTTCTACGGTGTCTGTGCACACTGAGGTTTTTTCAAAGCTGGATTTTCAGAGAAACAGGATTGCTGGTACAAAAGCGGTCCATCTTCCAAAGGTCTTCTCCGGAACAGAGGACTTGACGCAAAAATTCTCAGATTGCAGTCAGCATAGGCCAAATGATGTGTATCTTATTACTTTCCTTTTCGTAGACATGTCAGCAGTTTGGCTCGATACATTTTGAAAACAAGGTTTTAGCTTCATGTGCGTTAATGCCAGCCCAAATACTGAAAAGTCGAAAAAGTTTTAAGGAAATGCTTTTAACCGAAGCTGTCACTGGCATTTCGACAGCAAGCCCCGCAGGTGGTGCCACCGGTCTGACCGGCGGCGGTTCTCGCAATTAGCTCCATTAATAGACAACCAGGTTTCTTCCTACAGGAGCCTACGCGAAGGATTTAATGGAGTTTTATTTGTCCCAAAAGGTTGGCGAGCCGGCGTCCTGCTACTGAAATCATTCGGGACGAAGCATTCCTAAATATTCTTTGAAATTAATTTTAACTCCTAAGGATTTTGTCGCTTAAATTCCTAATGTGCTCAGAAAACTCAGTTTGTGCTCAAACCCGCTGGAATTGGATAGTCTGCCAGGTTTTGTTTAAGTATCCTAAAATCACGTCTGGCTTAAATTCATCCGTAACTAGAGAACCAGGGTTTGTCGTGTGGTTGTTAATTGCTTCCCAGCCTCTGGGTGTTTTCAACAACCCTGGCACGGCCGGCTCTGGTGCAGGGTTCCATCTTTTCATAAAGCATCTGTAAGTTCTTTTGCCATACCGCAAAGAGGAACGGTTGCTCGTGGCAGTCGCTAGCAGCAACTCCCCCATTGTAAAATTGAGTTGAAAACCATTTAGCTCTTAATCCGAGACAAAAATATGCAGGCAACAAGTTGCAGAATTGGTAAAGCAGCCCTGGCTTCTAGGCCGTGTGTAGTGTATTAATGTATACGGTAATGTCTCAGCTTACGGATTTGGTTGGCCTGAATAAGACCTCAGAAATATGTATCCAATGGTGCAAAACTCTGAAAGCGAAATACTACGAATGCTAAAACTAAAATCTAATACAAAAAGCTAATACTAAAATCGCTTAAAACTTCGGAATGGTCAGTCTCTGGGGATCCCGTGAGGGAGAGATGAGGCAGCGCAGGCGAGCACGTGGCCTTCCACCCCCGAGCAGGCTCGGAGCCGGTGTCGGGGGGATGGAGCAGGAGCCGGTGTCGGGGGGCGGCTCCGCGGCAGCGGGAAGGGGAGC